ATTTTCCCCCATTGGAAGAGGGGTCGTCTTATACGGCGAGTATATCCTGAACTCTATATTTTGCCTGGAAAAGTTGGGGGTCGTCTTATATGCTCAGTTGTCTTATATGCCGAAAAATACGGTTATGCCCTTGCCTTCCTCTGAGACCAAGAGAGTGTGGCTTTCCCAAGACCACCCATTGGGTTTCTATGACTGAGTGAAGATTTGAACCCGGGTCTCTCAGAGTCCAACCCAACACTCAAACCACTACACCACACAGGCTGTCTACAAATAAAATGATAGAAATTCTAACTGGGAATATCTGTGATCATTGAAATTGTTGTTTTCATTTCTGATTGTCTAAAAGGCCTTGATTGGGCAAACAACAGAGTTTGCCAAGGAATACTGTGTTCTAGGTTGTAATGATTCATTTCAAAGTATAGGACCTACCTTTCGAATATGATATTGTTGTACATGTATCAAACAAATGTACTCATTTGTTTCCAATCTGGGTACATCATACACATGAGGTGGTGAAAACCTGACAAAACTGTCAAGGTATGCAATTATGAAGATTTATTGTTGCTTTCATTCTCTTTCTTTTTCTCTAATTCTTTGTCCTCCCCACGACCCCTTGAAGAACCATCTGATGAAAAAACAGTAACAGGTAAACAGTATATTTCCTCCCTCAAAAATATTTAGCAACAAGAATAATTCACCATGAAAAATTATGGAGCCTAACATATCCAGATCTTCAGCTTATATAAATTAGCATTATCTGAGATCCATGAAAAATGATTAAATTGATCCTACCAAGGGATTTGGATCAAAATGTCAGGCATTTCCCTTCCTACTTCTTAATTTGTTCTTCAAGGATTCTGAAATGCAAAATTGCTTACTTGGAAGTAAATACCACTGAAATGAGTTGGCTTTGCTTCTGGGTAAGCACACAGGATGAGGGTACTAGTGCCTGGGAGGGTTGATTAATGCTGAGCTGTTCCTGGCAGAATAGATAGCTCAGATGCTGGAAGACAGTGAATGAAGCTGCATTGAAGTGAACTGGATCATATGAGTTGTGTGTATGTGTGTCAGGCAGAGAGAGATGAACAGTTCTAAGGCAGACTGCCAAAGAATTGCTGCTGTTCTCAGCAGGGAAAATTGGAAAGGCACAAATGCCTCCAGCACCACACCTTAGTTAATTTCAATCTGCTTCCTTGTGTGAAGTCACAGCTGAATGACTCTATTCTTGGAGGCCTGGAAAAGGGTTGCTGAAAAAGGACATAACAAAATGTATATATCAAAATGTTTGAAATAGACTTAATAGAGGTCTGTATAACATGATATATGGGTGCAAAATATAGTATCCCTTCAAGCTCCCAGCCACATTCACCCTTGCTCATCCCATCAGAGTGAAATGAGAGGAGTGTTCTGTTCCAAGGGTTCAGAAAACTGTGTCAGCAAACAGGCAGCTAAAATTTAATCCTGATGCTTTCGAAATCTTTCTAGAGAAGAAAACAGAAAAAGCACTGAAAGAAAAAGATGGTGAGAGCTGGAAATTTTTATTTTAAACCCATGCATAAAATCATTGTACAGGTGGCCCTCAGTATCTAGGGATTCTTCATCCACAAATTCAACATCCACGATTTGAAATCATTATATAAGTTTCAAAAAGCAAGGCTTGATTTTGCCATTTCATGTAAGTGATAACATTTTGTGAAGTCGTAGGCTTTCACGGCTGGCATCCATAGTTTTTTGTGGATTTTTCGGGCTGTGTGGCCATGTTCTAGAAGAGTTTCTTTCTGACGTTTCGCCAGCATCTGTGGCTGGCATCTTCAGAGAAAAAACCAACTGGCAGATGTGTTTTTTCTCTGAAGATGCCAGCCACAGATGCTGGCAAAACATCAGAAAGAAACTCTTCTAGAACATGGCCACCCACAAAAAACTATGATAACATTTTACTGTGCCACTGTATTTCATGAGACTTGAACATCCACTGATTTTGGTATCCATGGTGGGTCCTGGAACAAACCCACTGTACAGATACCAAGGGCCCACTGTACTGGCAATCTAATAATCCTGCTGTCCCCCTTCCAAATATTAACAATGTGGCATTGTGTAAATTGAGTTTCTTACACTGTATTTCATTTTCTTCTTCTTGATCCCTACAGGGAAAACTGTGGAGAAAGCTCATTGCAAAGAGGAAAAGGCTAAAAGTAATATGTATATAAAAATTGTGTGTGTGCGTGTGTGTGTATGTGTATGTGTAATTGTTGTTGTTGTGAACACATGAACCTATCACATGGTTTTCTTGGCAAGATTTGTTCAATGGGTTTTCCCTTACCTTTCTCTGAGGCTAAGAGAATGTTGCTTGTCCAAAGTTCTCCAGTGGGTTTCCATGGCCAAGCAGGAATTTAAACCCTGGCCTCTGGAGTCCTAGTCCTACACTCAAACCACTAAACTATGTTGGCTCACAACTTTATAATTATGCAAGCCATAAATCAAGGAAATCATAATTCATAGAAGAAATAGTACACATTGAAATCTATTACCCAAAAGAGTTAATGCAACAGTTTTCAAACTTTGGCCCTCCAGCTGTCTTAAACCCCAAAAAATCCCTTTTCATTCACTAAACTGGCTGGGACTTCTGGGAAGTGAAGTCCAAAACAAATGGAATTCCAATGTTTGAGAGCCACTAAATTAATGTATAGTTCTCCCTCCATTCTCACAGGGGATCTAAACATTTGTGCTGTATGTTCTTGACTATATAGACAAGGGGTTGTTTGTTTGTTTATTTGTTTTTGTTTTTTTTTTGGTAAGACTGAAGTTCTATTCATGTTGGCAACTGCTGGGAGGAGGATGCAAGTTGTTTGCATGTATTTGCAGATATAGTACGGGGTTTAAATTATCCCTGAAGCAGAATTAGTGGGTACTCCTCAACATGGGTTTGACAGACAGCTCTGATGAGTAAAATGATAGATTTATTTTCTTTTAAAACTTTCATTTAAATCAAAGAGACTTCTCTGCCCCTGGGATACTGTTGACCCCTAATACTATTAGTAGTGATATTAAGGAAAGTTACTATTTTTATGAAAATAGGGGAAATATATTTTTTTTTTCTTTCTGTACACTGTACTTCTTTCTAACAAGAAAGAGAACAGTTCTTTCTAAGCATCTGTAGGAGTAGCTAAATAAACTCTGGTTGAGGTCCTTAGTGGGAAGACATAGCATGAAGTTCCACTCAGATGGATCTATACATCTTCCCTTCTATAGGATTCACCTTGCTTTTGTGTCTCTCTAATACTTTTTAGTGGACAGTGGATAGTAAAGAGTGAAAGAGAAACATCTGGCTATATGTCTGCATGCCTATAGATACACAATAGCAATGTAATTCCCTGGTACCCTGTACAGGATGCCTTTGCCATTGGGAGTCTTGCTATAGCACATAGCTGGGCACTTCTCCTCCACCCCCCGATCTCTACTGGCCACTAAATGAACATGGAGGAGCACTGGCAGCAGCAAAGTGGTTTCTAAGGGGGTTGGTGGGTTAGTAATGAATACTCCCCTTCACAGCAGCTTTAAAAAAGAGAGACACCATTCAGTGTTTCACTGGCACATGTCACTAACATTATGCCAGCCTATGTATTATGTGAGGTCATTGACCCATTTTATCTAATGTGCATGATGGTAGTGGTGGTTTTTCAGTTTTCTCAGTAGTTCCCATAGAGGTAGAAATGGTTTCAAAATCTCTGGGATTACAAACATTTCATTAGATGAACTCTGGGCACTGAAACACTTCATCATTGTTGACTACTAGGAAAATGGAGTTTAGGGAGGCCATCCCCCCTATGTTTTATTTTTCAGCACTTTTGCAGTACATGCTATGCCAAACATCAACTGAAAGTTAGGAAAGATGATGATAGCAATAGCAATAGCATTTACATTTCTATACCAATTCATAATGAATAAGCACTCTCTAAGTGGTTTACAACATGATGATTAATGATGAGTGATTATCTATTTATAATAATAAATAGATTATGATGTTATTTATATGGTTGGTGAGAATAATGACACTTGTGTGATTTTAATGATAAAATGGATCTTTGGTACATAATTTAAAGATTGTCTTTTTTTTCTTAATAGCCCCAGAAGTTAAAGAAACCCATCACCACCACAATGTGACAGCAGGTATATGAATAGATTATTATTACGTACAGTGGGAGGGTGTTTTGTTTTGAGGGATTTTTTTTGGGGGGGGGTGCTATCAGTTTGCTGTAATGCCCAGTCCTTTAATGCCTCTATGTACCCTGTCTATATCTCTAAGGCTGCTGCCACACTGCAGAAATAACACAATTTGACACCAATTTAACTGCCATGGCTCCATTCTATCAAATCCTGGCATATTTAGTTTGTTGTTGCAGTAGAGCTCTCTAACAAGTAAAACTAAGTATCTCACAAAACAACGAATACTAGAATTCCATAGCATTGAACCATGACTGTTAAACTGTTGTTAAAATGCATTAATTCAGCAGTGTAGATGCAGCCTTAGGAGATTATCACAGCACTAATTAAAATGGTTTACCTGATCTGGCTTAAAATTTAAAACGGGCAGCATCCTGAGGTTATCACAATAATTTTATTGCTGAAATCGCCACCCAGGTGCAGCTCAGGTCCATCCCTGCTCCCAGGGCTGCTCCGGTGGCCATATCCTTAAGCTGGAAAACTCCCAGCTTTGAAAAAAGCCACACTGAGCAGCCCTGGGAGCAGGGGTGGATTCAGGCTGTACCTGGGTAGCTAAATCCTTATGATAACATCAGGATGCCACCTATTTTAAATTTTAAGCTGGCTCAGGTGAACTGCTTTAATTAGTGCTGTGATAATCCCTTTAGACATGGATAGGAATAATCATGCAACTTCAGCTTATGATTTTCAAAGATACAAAAACTCAGATAAAATTGGTTTTCCTAAAATCCAGAAAAAATTAAATGGATTTATTATCCATGATCCATTACTGTGAACAGATAATGTTATTAATAACTACAGTTAATAACTACAGTTTACTAGTGATTACAATAATATGAAGTCGTAGGCAATACGTAGACGATACAACAATATCTTGACATATCCTTGGACCAAAGTTGGTTGATCCTGGCTGTTTCCTTAGCTTTAACTTTCTCCAGTTTGTATGCAATGCCTTATTACACATCTGCCAGTTGGTGCAAAATTTGATTTTGAAAGTACTAGAACCTTGGGGAAAATGATGTTGGATTTTATCTTGCAGAACACCAGCCAATATAAACACTAGTCATATTGGCTGTGGGGATTCTGAGACCTGTAATCCAAAAAGTAACTTTTTCAAGCTCTGGACAACACTATACCAATACTGAGTAATTATTTTCACAGTTTATTTCTTAATTATTCTTAATTATTATTTTACTTATTTAATGAGGGGTGAAAAATCATCATGGAGTAAGAAAGAAGAGTCCTTAGTGTGATATAACTGTGCCTTTTATTGCAACTAGTCTTTTCAAATACATTTACCCTTTGCACTGACAGTGGTAGAGAACAGTATGGTTTCTTAGATGTTCAGCTTTACAAAAAGACATTCTCTAGTCATCTTGTCAAAGAAATTGTTCAAGGACATCATTGTTCAGAACTTGATCACTGCTTGATAAATTTAACTGAATTAACTTAATCAGAATGTGTATTAATAAGCAAAGAGAGATCCTGTTAGTAGAAAGTTATTCTGTTGCCTTTCAACTTTTGTCTCTGACAATCAGCTTTCTTTCCTTACAGACAAAATTTCAAAAGCTGCCAAAACAACAAGTAAGTTCTGCTTAGGGTTAAAGACATTGCAAACATCTTTGATTCTCAGGTGACATATAGTACTTGTCAGTATTGTACAAAACTGTAACTTGGTTATCAAAAATGTTGTTATTCATTCCGTCAGGCTGAGAAAGAATGAGTCATTTGCCCTTGAAAACTGGCCTATGGGAAAATGTTATATGCTTTCAAGCTCAAACCTTAAATAAAATGTAGTGATCCTGATGCTCATGGGTTGTGATGGAGAAAAGATATGCTGGCACCAAAAGGGAGTTGATAAAGAGGTCATTTTTCACCAAAGTGCAGGATTTGAAAAAGATAAATAAAATAAAGCTACTTGCATAAGCAAACTAGTGGACAATTGTAACCCTGTGGATTTCTATATAAGCTAATAACAATACACTAAGATGCCAATTATCCTGAGTTTTGCTTCTAAAATTTAGTTGGATTGCAAGTATGTATAAATAAAAAAATAATCTGACAGGAACAAATACCACATGTGCTCCATTCCTTTGTAAAATACATTAAGGAAATATTGTATTGCCACAACACATAATTCTTCATTCTGTTGTCTTCCTTCAATGTATTGTGTTTTTCTGTAATTTGGATGGCAAAGTGCTTACCCTCATGGGTTAGACCAGGGGTAGGCAACCTTTCCCCTTTAAGGGCCGAGGGACTTCAGCTCCCAGAATCCCAGGAGCTATTGGCCAACATGGGACTATTGGCCAACATGGCTGAGGCTTCTGGGAGCTGAAGTCCCTCGGCCCTTAAAGGGGAAAGGTTGCCTACCCCTGGGTTAGACCTATTTTTGTAACAATGGCTAGATTCAAGGCAATGCAAAGGCAAGGCTTGTAATCCAATTCTATTATTCTATTAAGGATATACCCACTTACATAGTCCCGGCAAAGCAGCCTAATACATTTCTCTTTTATCTTCTATAACTATATGCAAAAAGACTTCTATAACTATATGCTGATTAATCTTTTGGTTGGGTGGGGAAGCAGAATCCATCCATCTATAAGCCAAGGCTAGGCAAAATACCTCCCAGCATAATGTCCTATGATCCTGCACTTCTCTTACAAGCCATCAATTTCTATTAGAGGTGAGTGTGGACATGTGTGGTTATGGTATATCCTGGATTCTTTCCCAGAACATTTCTAATAGAAAAGAAAGGGGGGAATCTCCTCAGAATGGGTGGTTGTTTCTGTTTCTGGCAAAGATGTTTCATTGACAGAGAGCAACCTTGATAAATGGGTGAGCAAATTGACTTGGAACATTTTTGACCTTTCTTTCTGGTACATGTGTGGAAGAACTTCCTCATCCTCTCCCCTGGCATTTTAAAATATGCCAATAATTTTCTAGATGTGGAAGACTTTTTAAAAACACACCAGTAAACTACAGATTAGAGGGTGCCTACTGAAGTGTGTATGTTAAAGGCTGCATCTACAGAAAGGATGCACTAATTAGAGAACTAATGTGGGGTATTAATCTATCATCCTATTTCAGTAATACAGGTATTATCATGTACATAGCTTTTTTTTCTACATAGAATATACCTTATATTGGGTTGTGTTTTGTGTGTTTGCATAATTGCTGTGTGTAATTAGCATTCCACCTAAAAATAGAAACGCAACTTCATGCCATC